ATTGGCCCAAAGTCACCCAGCTGGCTTTCATGGCTAAGGCAGGACTAGAACTCACAGACTCCTAGTGATTGGCCCAAAGTCACCCAGCTGGCTTTCATGGCTAAGGCGGGACTAGAACTCACAGACTCCTAGTGATTGGCCCAAAGTCACCCAGCTGGCTTTCATAACTAAGGCAGGACTAGAACTCACCGTCTCCTGGTGATTGGACCAAAGTCACCCAGCTGGCTTTCATGGCTAAGGCAGGACTAGAACTCACCGTCTCCTGGTGATTGGCCCAAAGTCACCCAGCTGGCTTTCATGGCTAAGGCGGGACTAGAACTCGCCGTCTCCTGGTGATTGGCCCAAAGTTACCTGGCCATCTTTCATGCCTAAAGCTGGACTAGAACTCACTGTCTCCTGGTGATTGGCCCAAAGTCACCTGGCCATCTTTCATGCCTAAGGCAGGACTAGAACTCACCGTCTCCTGGTGATTGGCCCAAAGTCACCTGGCCATCTTTCATGCCTAAGGCAGGACTAGAACTCACCGTCTCCTGGTGACTGGCCCAAAGTCACCCAGCTGGCTTTCATGCCTAAGGCGGGACTAGAACTCGCCGTCTCCTGGTGACTGGCCCAAAGTCACCCAGCCAGCTTTCATGCCTAAGGCAGGACTAGAACTCACTTTCTCCTGCTTTTTAGCCATGTTGTAACCTGATCAATTTTGTGCTCAATATCAAAAAGTTCTTCACTTGTTACGATTGCTTTAAACACTCTGCCATATCTAATGGCTTTCATATTTATCTTTTTATTAATTGCGAAAGCCGGCCAGAACCCCCTTACCAGTGTGTCGGACGGCATGTAAATGTCATAAATAAATAAGCATTTATAAGCCAGGGGAAGATAAAACAGGTCTCATAACCTGGACCAGAGATGAGCAACTTGCGGCTCTGGAGCCGCACGTGGCTCTTTCACCCCTCCGCTGCGGCTCCCTGTCGCTCAAAATATGCGTCACAGCCGCCAATGTGCGACGCCCACCAGCACGCCGTTTATTGAGCTTTTCGACCCCCGGTAGGGCAACTATGGATAAAATCCAAGAAAATAAAAGTTTCAGAAGAAAACAGGACCTTTAATTTAAATACATATGCTAGTTTTATGAGTGCTCAGGAAAAAGTCAGGCGTGGGAAGAGTTTTGTGGCTCCCTTTTGTGTGGGAAATGGGCCCAAATGGCTCTTTGAGTGTTTATGGTTGCCAATCCCCGGCCTGGAGTCAAAAAAAGAGAGAAATTTATTTTTACATAAAGCTTTAGAGTTTGGGATCAGTTTTTCCTTACCTGATGTCACCTCTGGGACTTTGGCACCTCCCACCGCCTTTGAAGTTGAGACCTTGATTGGAAAAATTGGCAGCTGCAGACACATCTAGAGAGATCCGGTTTCGGAAAGGCTGCTTTAAGGCCCCGTGAAAACAAAACCTCACTAAATATTAATAAGTCCATAAAATTTTGATTTCTCTCCCCGCTAGGAATGAGGACATCGAGCTAATTCTCTCAGAAAACAGCTTCTGCGAGCCCCAGATGTTGGCAACTCGCTACTTAATGTACCCCGGATGGCAAGTATCTCCGTTCGGCAAAATGTTTGAACCGGTGTCTTTTAATATGCGGGTACAAGTACAGGGGGCCCTTGACTTAAGAACAGTTCATTTAATCATCATCATCATCATCATTTGGCAAACTGGGCCACTTTAAGAATTGTGGACTTCAACTCCCAGAATTCCTCCTGGCTGAAGAATTCTGGGAGTTGAAGTCCACAAAGTCTTAAAGTTGCCAACTTTGGAAAGCCCCAATTTAAGAGGATTCCCATCCCTTACTTAATTGCCATTAATCCTCCTCCCCTTTAATTAGCGCTGATCCCTAATTGTATGCCAAGCTTCCCAGAATGCACTTTCATTAAGGTAAACGGAGCCTTATCCCTTTTGCGGGTAGGGATTTTTAGGAAGTTTTTCGTCTCCGCTCTTTCCAAGGCTTAATCTCCCTCCCGCGGCCCGGCCCTTCCAGCTGCAGGCCAGCACATCTGGAACCCTTCTCGCACTGTTTATATGATCGCATGAAGTTGCAATTTTCTGTGTGTCTGTTCTGTTTTAAGGGGCACACATGTTTAATACGCTCCTTAACCATTATTTTTTTTTAATTTCAAGAAAAATAACAACTTGCAGCCTAAGTGGAGGGCTTTTCTCAAGTGGAGACCAAACCAGGCGCAGTTAGGCAGAACTATAAATAGTAACAACGATTTATTTAGTGACCATTCAAAATTACAACAACACTGGGAAAGTTCCTTCTGATCAGTCCTTACATTTACAACCGTTGTGGAATTCCCACAGTCACGTGACCAAAATTCAGACGTTTGGCCACTGGCTTGTACTTATGACAGTTGCAACATCCAGGGGTCATGTGCTCACCCTCCCAGTTTGTCAACGGGGGGAGCTAGATTTGCTTAACAACTGCATGGTTCACTTACCAACTTCGGAGGTTTCTTTCACAACCGTGGTTAGAAAAGTTGTAAAGTGGGGCAAAGCTCACTTAACAATTGTTTTGCTTAGCAATGGAAACGTTGGGTTCGGTTGTGGTCATAAGTCGAGGATTATTTGTATCCCCATCTGTGTATTTAATGCTTTTTTTAACCGGCGTGCCAAGCTCAAAGCAGACCACTCCGGACAAAATATATATTTCTGTGACTACAGAAAGAAAAGAGTCATTATCTCTTCTTCAGTTGTTTCTGCCTTTGGAAAGCAGAATTTGCCCGCTTTGTTAAAATGTTCAAAAACGTAAAATCGGCCTTTAATTCAATTTGCCTGATTTTTCAAAAAGCAATTAGCTATTAAGTGTGAATATTTTCCTTTAAGTAGTTAATATTTTTTTTCTCTCCTTTCAGGTTTGATGGGAAATTTAGAGCCGGTTCTGTTTTCCCCCCCATGGTCCAAATTTGTGTGTGGTTTAACCGTCCTTTGGAGAAAATGCGCTTCGCGGCCAAATGTAAAGGTAAATTATCATTTTTTTTCAGCAACATGGAATCTTTTTTTTTTTAATGAGAATTTTGAAAAAAAAAACTTTTACAAATATTTACTTCCCTTCCCCCCCCCCCAACTTTCTCCCCTCCACCCACCCACCCCGACTTCCCAGACCCAATACAGGGTATAAATCTTTAACAAAAACATTCTAAAATAAACTTTAAA